GGAGAATGGACAAACAGTTGAATGCACTGTAGCTCAGTATTTTAAGGACAGGCACAAGTTAGTTCTACGCTATCCTCACCTTCCATGTTTACAAGTCGGACAGGAGCAGAAACACACGTACCTTCCTCTTGAGGCAAGTAAACTTTGATATAATATTACATCTCGTGGGAAGGAGGTTGGGAGGAGGCAGAGAAAAAAGGCTAACAATTTTGTGACAAATTGTGCTTTGTGAGTAGCCAGCTCTAAAAATAGTGCAAATAAGCAGGAAAAGAATAACAGCTGCGTTTTGTTTTTTACCTTACCTTTTGTGGGGCTGTTTTAGGTGTGCAACATAGTGGCAGGACAAAGATGCATAAAGAAACTGACGGACAATCAAACTTCCACTATGATTCGGGCAACTGCCAGATCAGCACCTGACCGCCAAGAAGAGATTAGCAAATTGGTAAGTGTTCTGTAAGCGATGAGAGCAACGCGTGGTAGCAAACTTAGTTTTTCTCTTACCTCTAGAAGATATCAAGTAGTTTGTACAACTGCACACAGGTAATGTTTCTGTTTTTTATAAGACTTTCTCTGTTCGTCTCAGAAAAGTAAACACTCACAAAGGGTTTTCAAATGTCCTTTCGGTGCTTTACTTCAATTTTAAGGCAAGTATCCAAGCGGAATTAACAGAGGCTCTGAATGCTTGGCGTTACCCGTATGTGCTTGAGTACGGTTATCTGTGAACGTTTTAGATCTCATGAAAAGGGCTTTTTTTCTGCATGCAGTATCTCATTCCTTTTAATTTCAGATGCGGAGTGCAAGTTTTAATACTGACCCTTATGTTCGCGAATTTGGAATAATGGTCAAAGATGAGATGACTGATGTGACTGGTAGAGTCCTACAGCCTCCCTCAATCCTCTACGGAGGCAGGGTATGTTAAATCAGTACTGTGCAGTCTGTGATTGCTTTGATTACCAGGGGTGGTAGCTTCTGTAATATGGTTACTCTAAATGACATGTTGGGTGTAATGGGATAAAGTCATGATTGCTGTAACGTTTAACACGTAATTTTTTTTTTTTTTAATCCTTAAACTTAACGGCCATGTTGCATGTGATATGCTCCCTCTCCCGTTGCCTCGTTATTTTTAAAAGAAAAGCTAGGGCAAAAATACCTATTTTCCTCTACAGTTGATTTAAAGGTGTAAGTCATATTTTCCTCTCATGCACTGTTTTTTTGGTGTGTTTTATAAGGAGAAAATTGCAAATAATAGTTCAAATCAGTGCGTGTAGAAAAGAACAGACAGAGTCTATCGTTGTTATTTATTTTTGCCTCCCTTAACTCTGAAATCTTCTTCCTGAACTTCTCGTTGGTTTTTGAGAGCTCTGCAGGGAGCAACTCTGTTCAGGACAACTCTCTTAAGGTATTAGCTCTATCAGCATGTTACTCTCCAGAGCCACCCCTTCCTGTTGGAGTATTTCATGGGTTTTTTCCTTTAAAATGGCCTGTCAGGTGGCCTCTGTTTGACATGCCCTTGCTACTACTTTTTCAAAAAAGTTTGAGAAGCAGGATTTTTTTTTTTTAACAATTGTATAATGTATCTTTTGATTTTATTTTTTATCCCTTACATGATATGTCTTTTTCTGCAAGAGAGAAGGTCTTAATGTCCATGATGCATTAACTTGTGGAGACTTCTGATGAACAGCATGTAAATTAAGTGCTGCAGCTGAAAATAGTTCTGTTCCCAGGCACAAGTCAGTCTGTTACCCCTGTAAATCTGCCATGGGAGGGTATCTTGAGCCTTCTCCATAATGTTCTTCTGTCAAAACCAGACAGATTAGCTCAAACCTTCCTTCCCTGACAAGTTAGTTAACCCAGCTGCCTTTGCCTGATCCTGATTAGGGGGAGCGCTCACATGAACTATTCTGGCAGCAGAAAAGGGGGAGCAAAAGCGTAAAGGCAGATAAATGGTGACAAGTCCGGGTGGGGGAGGTACTGCTGTCAGCCAATACAGCTCCTTACAAAATGAATTAGCAAATTTGTGTCCTGAAAAATTCCCATACGTTTTAGCCTTTGCTGATAAATGAAGGGCAGACACTGCAGTAACTTGTGTAAAAACATCTGCTGGGTACTAATACTTATTAAGGTAATTAACATCAGCAGACTCACTTTAGTCGTCTTATTCTATCCCTTATCCTCTAGATAATCCATCACAGTAATGTCTACTTGATAGGAGAAAAAGTGTTGCACGGGCCAAAGTTCAATAACCAGCCATCTTTTGTCAGCTCTTTCACTTTTTTTTCTCTAAGTGACCTCGAACCACTATTTGTCTCTATTTACTGACGTGTAAAATATTGATAACACTTGAATTAAGTCACTAAAGTGTCGGGAAGCTAAATTAATTCTTGAGAAGTTCACTGAGCAGTTGTGAAGTCACTGTAGAAATGTGCATTCCTATTATTTACCAGTTGTGAATCTCTGATTTACTAACTATACGTAATTTCTACCTGCTGCTGACTTACATAACCAAAGAAATTCATCAACAGTAAAAATGAGCATGCGATCACCCTAAGCTTTCTTTTTCACCAGATAGACAGGCTATCTTGTTGCAGTGATAGATTGATCTTTACATGATAGGATAGATATCTGAACGATAGAGAAAGAGCTGAGACTATTAATAGTCTGCTAGTTAGAGTGGAGCAAGAGTGTAACTGGTTTTTGTTAGCGTGAATCATTTTCTGCATTAGGTGTTTTTTTTCTTTTTTCTTTCTACTTCCAGAATAAAGCAATTGCCACACCAGTTCAAGGTGTCTGGGACATGAGGAATAAGCAGTTTCACACTGGAATTGAAATAAAGGTTTGGGCAATTGCATGCTTTGCTCCCCAACGCCAATGCACTGAAGTTCATCTTAAGTAAGTGTGTTTCCTAAGAAGATAATTTTATTACTTATTGATTATGTATGGAAGTGTCATACTTTGCACTTCTGTATATTTTTTTAAATTGTTTAACTTAAGGAAATATGTCTGTAATACTGCTTTAGATGTTCTAGCTGTGCGTTCGGTGTCATGGGTATTGAACTTCATGTTTTGAACCATGCCAATACAATTTCGATGTTAGCCTCATAGTTTCGTGAAATCCTCAAGATCAGAACCAGCTTATACTGTATGGCAAGTTTCCTACCCCATTGAAGTCTTAGCATAGAGTTAAAGATGAATAAAGAACAGTGGGGACTATTGAACTGGTAAAATGAACAGTGTTTATCACTAAGTATTTGTCAATACTGAAAGCTAGCATGTGTGTCTTATGTCTCAATTTAAGTATGTTCTTTATAACCGGAAAAAAACTATCTGTGCTGAACTTATTTAAAAGGTAAACTTTAATGTAAAGCAATCAAATTTTGGTCTCAAATTTTCTGCCCCCTAGAGGTACAGTAATGTATAAATTAGTGTATTTACAAGATTGGCAAGAGCAGTTTGTTTTGTTGACCTCGAGTGTATGAATGAAATTCAATTTTCAAATTTGGTTTCTCTCTCTTTTTTTTTTCCTCTCCCACAAATGAATGGAACACTATTGTTAAAAGTGACACCTACTGTTCTCTAGGTTACGGAAAGTGTGCCTGCCTATGTTAGATGGATTGTCTGATTCTTTGGCACACAGTCGTTTTCCCTTTGTGCATAGGCAGGTGCAGCTCTTGGAGCTTGCTCAACTGCTCTTTTTCAGGGGAATGCAAGGCAGTTATTATCCGTAACGATAGCATTACCATAACAATGTCCCTTTTGATAATTTGCCAAATTGTTGGGAAACGTTTCCCTAACAAGCGGTGATGAAACAGTAGAAATCTTACCTTTCATTTCTTGCCCTTGTTGTTAGGGACACGTTCTCTTTAAGTCCAGCGCTGCTTAGGAGAAGTTGGTCAGTTCTGAGGTGTAAAGCCGATGGGAGGAATAGGCAGAAGCCAGCAACATAGTGAGCTGAAGCAATTTGATTTCAGTTTAGATGACGTTTGTCCTCATTTTGAAAGGAAGTTCTTTCATACTGGGAGTCTGTGTGCGTCCAGTCCCACCTTGTTGCCTCTTGTGAGGCAAGTTGGAAGTCAGCTGCTGTCGAGCTGTCTAGTTCTCATCTCAGAGTAAATGCTTCCAAAATGCCTAAAAGTCTTCAAAATCATTTGGTTTTAACTGTTGGGAGCAGTGTGATAACCGTTCCTATTAGACACCGTGCTTGTGGTTAGACTCGTATAAACTCAGGTTCCAAACTTGAAGTGTTTTAGACTTGGATATCCTGCTACTGACTATTTCTGCTCATAGTGGTGGTGAATGCCTGTTCTGCCAGGGAAGATGTGTAACATGCCTGTTTTCTACAAGAAGTCACAAGCTGCAGGGCTGAGACTCACATTCTGTTACAATCTGTGAAAATAACACAGGCTATAGAAGAAACTAAAACTTCACATCCTCTAAGTGAGTAGGACTGTGTTAGCTGGCACCCTTCTGTGAAGATGCACAACTTCTCAGGCAGCTATGGGGACATCTGCTCCGAAGTAATAGAACATCTTTGTCAACGTTGACGTCAGTTAACCACTGCTACCAAGGATCACCTAGCTATCAATCAAAGCTCTGGTAGTAAAGCCAAGTGCCGAAGAAGGACCTCTCTGGATGCATCTGTGCTAGTGTTTTAGTTCGGTTTGGGAGTGCGTATCTGAAGACAATCTTCTACCGGTCGCCACTTGCCAAGCCACGATCTGCATCCAGGAGCAACCCGAGTGCGCGCTCTGGGTTTCTTTTGGATGAAACTCAACTAGAGGATGTGCATCAGCCACTAATGGAGATTTAGCCCACTGCACCCAGCTACACCCGCTCTGAGGGAAAATCCCAGAAACACGTACAGCGTGGGTAATGGTTCAGTGCCAAGTTCTCCACTCCACACATCTGCTCTGTGGCACCTCACTACGTGCTAATCTAGACATGGCCTTTGGTTATCAGGCTGGTATTTATGGAGTACGCGTGCACCATTGACTGCAGGCAACTGACTCGGAAGTGCCCTAAATTTGAAGCTGCTTTCTAGACTCCGTATACTTCATAGGGCCCTAGACTCCTACACTTAAGTGCTTTCAGTTGTCTTGTTTAAAATAGGCACACTGGAAAACTTCTTGGTATCCTCTCGAAGGGAAAGATAGCCAAACGCTACAACCTTAGAAGAAGATGGAGGCAGGCTGCAGGGCAGCAGGCCTTGCTACCAGAGGCCTTGACGGGGGCCTCTTCACTGGTAAAAGCCTCTGACAAAATCAGATTGTCTCCAGTTCTGACCGGTTCCAACAAAGGGTGCCTTGTTTTGGCACCGTCCTGGAGAAGGTTTGTCTTGCACACCTCCAGGATACACCCTTCCTCCGATATCCAGCAGTTTTTTCTTGTGCAGTGTTACCACTGTTTGCTCAATTCACTGAGACACAATTGCTAATGACTTTTGTTGGTCATTCTCCTTAGCAAACGAAGAACAAACTCCTGCCGTTTTTACAGTGATAAACCCTAAGTATTGTAGAGCTGGCTATTCAACGTGGTGTTGCTGTAGTGTGTTTTGTGAAAAGCAGCTCTTACTGTGTCTCCTATAGGCAGAGCTAATGGGATGGAGTAGTTTGCTTGCTTTTGCAAGTGAAGTTTTTATTAACAGTGTTATTTATGTAACGTGCTTGCTTATCTTCCTCAGTTTTTCCTTCAGGCCCCGAGTAGGGACATCCATTTAATTAGAGATACGCTCAAGGTGAACACTGATTTTTTTGTTGTTGTTGTTTGTACAAAAACCAGCAAACAAACAACAAAACTTTTTAAATTTAACAGGATTATTCGATTAGAAATGAGCACAAAATCGAGATGCTTTTCGCCACCTAAAAGTCTAATGTGTGTATGTCCTTTAGGTCCTTCACAGAACAGCTGAGGAAGATTTCAAGAGATGCGGGAATGCCAATCCAGGGGCAACCTTGCTTCTGTAAATACGCCCAGGGAGCCGACAGCGTGGAACCCATGTTCAGGCACCTGAAAAACACTTATACTGGGCTGCAGCTCGTTGTCGTAATTTTGCCGGGGAAAACGCCAGTCTACGGTCAGTATGTGCAAGTCACGAGCGTATGCACGCATCGGTCACAATTTCATGTATTTTTGTGAAGTATCTGAATGACAGAAGTTAATTCTGGTTTAATTGTGTACATGCCGTGTAGAAATGGGCTGTGCGTCACTTTCATTCCTCCTATTGTGCTGCGTGATGTTGCAAATTAATACCGTAATTTGTTTCATCATTTTTCATTTAAATTTGCTTCGTTATTTTCTCCTTTTGATTTGCTCTTTTGCATGCACCTTGTTCGCGATACATTTTGTTTCTGAGAAAGCTAAAATTGAGGCCTTTTGTAAAACTATTTAAAACAAATTTTCAGTGGTTTAAAATGTACTTACAGTTAAGTTGTGTGCTTAAAGCTCCAAGTGACTGAACAAGCAATGAGCTCAAAAACTACGTGTAGCTTTTAAAAACAACTTTGCCAACTCAACCTTTGGCAAAAACTTGCATGAAGTGGAAGTTTCTGCCAGTGGATTTTTCCTGTTCTTCTTATTTTTAACTCTTGGGTTGTGAGGACACGAATGCCTACAGTTTCACAGGTTAAAACTCGGTGATGTTACACTGTTTTAGAAACAGATCAATAATTTGTACATTTTACAGAGCACATAGGTATAGTTTTAATATGCTTCAGGCAAACCGTGGATTTTGTTTTTTTAACTAGCTTTTCCTGTACACAGGACTGCTCCTTTCCTATCCTGCCTTCCTCCTTTCCTCACTTATTTACTCTGCGTAATTGCAGATTCACCTACTTCATCTTTTTTCTCCCATAGCTTCAAGGGCTCTCACGTGGCTAATGGCTCAGATCGAACAAGCAGCTGCAGATTTGCTTTCCTCCTTCCTGTCCCATACCTCTCTCTCATCGATTTAATTTAGCAAAAATAGGCTCCTAGCTGTTCCTTCAGATTATCTGGCATCAAGTAAAAAGAGAGGCAGAGTGAAAAAGGAGCCTTGAGCAAAACGATAACCTTTTCATTTGCATTTTTATTTCCTTTAAAGGAAGTTGCTCGTTTCCAATTTGTTAATAGAAATCCAATGCAAACTCACTTTTCCTGCTTGGCATTACAAGGGGACTCCTTCCTCTCCTTAACCACTGAGAGGAGGTGGTATCACTCTCATCCGCCCTCTTAGTTACTGGCCTCAGGTACGGTTCTCCCTGCCCCATCTAATCGTCTCTCTCTCTTCTTCCCGTGCACTTCCATGCTCTTGGGCTTCCTATACACCCAGT